GGTAGCATCCTTATATAAACTTTTTCCTTTAAAAATATCCAGCAGCTTAGACCAATTATCCAAGAGGGTAGATTGTGGAGAATTGTTGTTAAGGTTAATGCATTAGGTAATGCATGGTGCAGCAGGAGTAATTTTATTTGAGTAAATCTATTTGTAAGTATAATACCTGCATTTTCTATATTTGTATGTATAATACCTGTATGTTTTATATATTAGTTTCCATCTAAATATTATGTAAAAAATTGTGAGTAATATTTTATTTTTAAAAATTTCTCCATTAATAAATTTTGTATCGGAGCTTCCAAACTTATGAACTCCTAGAAAGCAACAACCCCCTGCTCCCACTTCCAACAAGTACGATTTTGAGGGTATTACGACACCCAAAGTCGTCATGAACATATTAGAGAGAAAGATATAGAGAGAAACTCCTCAAAAAACAAGATTTGGGATTTCTTCTTCTTCTTTTTTATATATTGAACATTTTTGGGTACTTTTGGATTCTTGAGAAATTGAAAAGCATAGTGACTGTTTATGAGACATGAAGAGGTGTCAAATGAGGTGTTTTCACAATCATCGCTCACCAATTCGAGCAAACTTTTATTAGTTTTCAAAAGCTTAGCTTAAGGTTTGTTGATAGTTTCCAATATTGGGTTTTGTAATTGTTTTCATTTTTTTCAAGTTTGGTTTTTGTTATTATGTCTTTTTTATTTAAAAAAAAAAAGTGTTTGGCTTTGGATTCATTTTCTGATGATTGTTCTCAATACTTAGTATTGGCTTAGTGAATTTTTCCAATATTTGGGTTTTTGTTATGTGATTTTTTCTCGTTTATGTTTTGTAAGTTTTCTATGGTATGGATTTGGCTTTCTTGATGACATTTACTAAGACTGGGTTTTAGTCTAATAACTACTTTAATATATGGATTTTAGGTTGTTTATTTTCTTCAAGATTGGAGATTCTTTTTTTCTTTTTGTTTTTTTGTTTTTTTGCATCTTATATTTATCCAAGTTGTAAATATGCCATTTAACCTTATATAAAAGTGATATACATAGGGTGGCATGCAAATTTTATAACAACATTTACAAGGCTGGTATACATCGAATAAATAAATATTTGACCAGGCATTAGATATGAAGTAGCCTTACGCACGAACATATGGCCCAAGCTAGGAAAGAAATGTTGACAAATTTGGATATCAGTGCACGAAGAAAGAAGAGAAGAGGAAATATGAGAATATTGTGAGGTTAACGAGTATTTTTGAAGAGGAACAAGAAGCTTCGAGCAAAGGGGCTTATTGATTCTTATATTCCACATGATCCTAGAGATAAAAAGCCAACTTAGAAAGAGCTCCTTCAAGAAGGAAGATAGAAGTAGCATGCTTCGAGCAAAGGGGGTTATTGATTCTTATATTCCACATGATCCTAGAGATAAGAAGCCAACCATTAGAAAGAGCTGCTTCGAGAAGGAAGATAGAAGTAGCGTGTATCAAAACATAGACCGACGGATGTACTAAGCAGGCAGTTCTTCCAATGTTGCTAGCTTGAAGAGCTTCCAAGCTATGTTGGAAGCCATCACCACCTGACCCTCCCTCCCTTGCAAACAGTGCTCTATTTAACGAGGTGTGAGTATTTGTGGTTCGGTTGGTGTCCCCACAGAAAGCTTGTTGGGATATCTATATAGTTTTTATTGTGGCAAATGGTAGTTAGAAAACAGCGCACCAATGATTGGGGATGGGGTCAGACAAGATTAAGTAAAGTGAGGCGAATGTGGTATGAGAGAATTTCGATTTTCCATCCTTTACTTTGGTTTTTTTTTCTGTCGAGGGGTTAAGAAGATTATGGGTTAGCCTTCCTTGAAATAGTAGGAACCCCAGATAGATGAAAGGTAGATCCATAATGATTGCATTTTAAAAACCCACCACCCCAGTTTTTGTTAGAAGTGATGGAGCTGAAACATGTTCGCTTGGTTGAAATTTTCCAAGACCAGAATAGGATTGAAAGCATAAAGGTGTGTTTTAAGGAGTGGGTTACAAGAATTACATATATGTTTTTCCACTCTGGGTGAAGGAGACCACATTCTTCATGTTAATTATAATGACAAAATAACTTGGTGAGATGAGAATGGTCCAAACTACAGGTCTCTGGTTAAAATTTCTTTTTTGAGTGGAAAGGCAGAAAATATTCTAATAGAAGGTGGAATTTCTTAGAAGGCTAGTTGTGTGCCAAAGGCTCAAAGCAGTGTAGATATTAGAGGAGACAAAAGTCATAATTTCAATAGACTAAGCCATGAACTGTTTCTTCGAGTTTTTGTGGCAATAACACACACTGTACATGAGATTTTTCTACATTATTGAGATGTAAAACACTAACACAGATACACACAAAGCAAAATTTCCAATCTATAAGCAAACAATAACAAGAAAAGATAAGGAGGATTGCGGAAAAGGAGGATCAAAGAAAATAATCTGGCCTTGCTATGGTGGTGGAGGTTACAACTGGAAAGAAGAATCTTTGGGAGGAGGTCATTGAAGCCAAATGCAGACTGGGTAATAGTGGTTGGCTTCCCAACTTCCCTAGGCATAGAGCTTCCAGGGCCTGGACTAGTATTGCCAGAAGTAGAATTACCTATAAAAATAACATTAGATTCAAGGTCGGCAGCGGGGAGAGAATAAGATTTTGGAGAGACCACTGGTTGGGGAATCAGCATTTGGGAATTTCCTCACCTTCTCTCCATTCCATTGCAACTAATGAGGAAGCAATAGTGGCTGAGTATGTAGAGCAACGGGGAAACTCCTTAGTATAAACTCCCATTTTCAGGCAGGGACTCACAGACACTGAAGCTTCATCCCTATCCACTTTACTATAGCCCTTACAAGAAGTTTTTATCCCTATTATTGATGATGATGTTATGGGGTGGTCTCCCTCTCCCTCTAGTATATTCGATTTCATTCTTTTAATCATCCCTAACCTCTTCACTCGGCTCTTGTCCATTATTAATAACATTTGGTTGGCCCCTGTGCCACAAAAAGTCCAAGCTTCTGCCTGGATCTTAGTGCAAGGTAAGCTCCTAACTGTTGACCAACTTCAAAGGTGAAGTCTTCAACTCCCCAATTATTGTTCCCTATGACACAATAATAAGAGTCTACCAATGTAACCAATCACCTTTTCCTCCATTGCGAGGTTACCTACTCTATGTGATCTAGACTGCTTCAGCTTTTTGGTTACCTTGGATTAACCCATTGTCCATACCCCAACTCCTTATGGCCTTCTCCTCTCCCCCTTTTTCTAAAAATCGTAGGCGTCTTTGAGTTGCAGGAGTCTTTGCTCTTCTTTGGAGGGTCTAGAAGGAGATAAATGTGTGGATCTTTCGCAACTCTCCAACTCAAACTCAGTCTCTAAATGATTTCATCATAGCAGAATCTTTCTGGGCCCAAAAACTGCCTGTCTGCAACAACACAGGTATCTCAAGTTTCCTCAACAATTGGGAGAGTTTGTTATCCTCTCGCCCCAATTTCACTTAGATTTGAGAAGTATGGTTGCCCCCCCCCCCCCGACAAAAAAAAATCCCCCACCCTCTTCCTCCTCCCTCGTTTGCTCAAACTCAACAGGGATGGCTGCTCCCTATGTAACCTTGGCCCCTCTCGCTTTGGGGGTACCCTTCCCAATAGTGAGAAGGTTCTCCTCTCATTCTCTGGCCTCATTTGTTTTGCATATTCAACTACTGCCAAACCGGTGGCCCTGCTAGAGCATCTTAAAAGGTCCATCTACCGAGCTTTAGAACACAACAGCCCAATAGTCGAAGCAGATTCCAGAAATATCATCACTTGGGCATCAAAGGCTGCTCAACCTTTTCGAGACTAGCTCACATATTTGAACACGTATTCTTCTTGTGCAAGGTTATCCCAGTGACCTTCAGTCTTCAGACTAATTCCCAGAGATGCCAACACAGCTGCAGATAGCTGGTGAAGGATAGTGCTTCAGGAATGGTGGGATTGGCAGAGAAAACCTTGTGATCTCCCTCCTTTCTCTGGTGCCAGATCTCTCCGCTCTCTACTTAACCTCATTTCCTCTGGTGCCAGATCTCTCCTTTCTCTACTTAACCTCATTTTTCGCTCCCCCTCTTTTCTCTAATTTTGACTACTTCTATTTGTGTTCTTCCTCTTTCAGCAATACACCTTCCCAAAGCTTTAAGTGTATTTCACTCTCCTAACCTCTTTGCCTAAATACACTCTCTACATAAACTCTTCTACACTCCTTACACTGCGCTCTTCTCACGACCTCTCCGCCGCAATCTAGATTTCTTCTTTTACACAATATGGACCATTCTTGTCTGGCGTCGAGGATATTTTCTTCCCATTCACCCCTGTAATCTTTCTAGAGTTCAAAAAGGTAACGAAGAAGAAGAAGATAAGCAAAAGGGGGAAAAAAAAAAAATCTTTTGATTGCTTGATGCAGGATAGCGTAACTGTCCAACCCAATACAGGTTCTTTGCTATACTTCGAAGCCACACCAGAATTTTGGCTCACCCCTATTTTGGAGTCCTGGTGCCCAAGAGTTAAAGGGATCACTTCTACGGTGAATTGCTAACCTATTAGACACGCTTTCTGTTGCACAGGAACCAGGTCGTGAGCGCTGACTCTTGCTGTATCGCCTGCACTTCTTTGTCCCAAGACTAAATGATCTTTCTCTTTACAAGGGTCGTCTCCTTTATTCTATCTCCCCCTAATTTTACCTCGCTCATCTCCACATCTCTTGCACTCTCTCTACTTTTCTATCTCTCTTTACTTTCTATGACTCTGCATTTTGCTCCCCTCTCCCTTGCCGGCTCTCCACTGACGCTCCAATATTCTTTCTCCTCTCAAGCGCCTTTATCGTTCTCACCCCTCTCTCAAACTCTCAGCTCACTCAGCTATTCTTTTTAAGGCTATCTTCTCTTCCTCCCAACCTATAGCAGACCCCTATTTTATATGCTGTCGTTTCTCATCCAAAACCTCCTTCTCAGCCTTTCATCCCTCTGCCCATTAATCCCTACTCCTTTTGATCTACTCTCTCCATACCTTTTGCTTATCTCTTTTAGGTAATACAGTTATTCTTACTGTCTTACACTTCTTTTTCCTTAGTTTTTACAGTCTGAGCACCTGAGGTGTGGTTTGCCTATATCCATTTCTTTAATTCTCCCTAATTTTTGCTTGTACAGTCTGAGCACACAATGTGTGAGTTGCCTGAACCCAGTTCTTGCAGTTTCTGTAACTACAATTATACTTAATAGAGTTATCCTTCTGTCTCAAAAAAAAATAAAAAATACTTGGGCCGTATCCTTACATATTGTAACAAAAATTTAAGTTTTCATATATTAAATAATAAGGAATATATCCAATTACTGATTCACTCTCAAACCAAACTTATCAGAACACAAAATTTCAAACTTATCGTAAATTTCCCAACCAAGCCAAAATAACATTAAAACCCAATATTTCAAACAACCATATAAACCTTGCTATCCATTATAACACCTAATTATCACCCTGGAAAATGCAGAAAGTCAATATATTTCCAATTAGAGAGAGAGATTGAGTACCTTTGTATGCCCCTTCAACACAATTTCATTACTCAGAGGAATCCTATAAGTATTCTCATCTTCTTCATCGGATTCTGACTCTTCCAAATCCGATGGCCTTGGAGGACCGATCATAACCCCATCATCATCATCCTCACCATCCCCACCGTCCAAATTCTGCAATCCTTCATGCTCAGAAACATGTATCTTCGACTCCATTTGTTCCTCCCTTTTAAAATTAGGGTTTTTCTGCTCAGGCAAATAATTGGGGTTCCTAGCAACCTGTGAAAACTCATCGTTTTTTGGGTGTTTCAGAGAATTAAGGTTCCTAAGTTCACTAGAAGAACTGGGGTTTGGCGAAGAGGCTTCTTGGCGCCTGGTTGCTCGGTGAATAGCCTCTAATGGAGTTAGCGTTTTAGATTGCTTTCCAAAAGAGAGTGGAAATTGGGCCCTAATTCCGTCGTATAAGTCGCCTTCATCCATTGAAGCCAACCTGTTTTCACCTTTTTTTTTTTTCTTTTTTTTTTTTGAGAGAGACCTGCAACTGGGTTGAGAGAGAGCCTGGAATAAGACGCGGATCTGTGGAGAGGGAGAGAGGGAGAAGCGCGCTACCGCGTGGTTTTGAAACACGGAAAAAATTTATGCAAAGTGCGAGGCTCCGAACAATCAAATCAAGGCGCACCTCAAATGAATGCATGGACATAAGAAATAAAATAAGATTTCTAAGCTTTGAAAATAATACATTTTTAGATCGTCAATTTTTTAAATTTTTAAGTTTTCAAAGATGGCTTGATCTATACTATTTTAAAAACTTTGAATTTTATAATTATAGATGGAATTTTTTTTTTAAGGCTATCACAAAATTTTCCCATATTAAAATTACATCTTTCGACATTATTTGAAGGTACGGTTTACTTTAAAAGGCCGTTTGGATACCTGGAAATATATTGTCCGTGAAATATATTACTGGTATAATATATTATTACGTAATACATTATCGATAAATATATTGTTACTATTTGGGTAGTATTTAGATGCAACTTGGGAAATATATTGTTATTGTTTGACCATATATGGAAGAAATATAGGAAATGCATTACCAATATTTTATCAGCATATGCCTATATACTATCATTTCTTTCTTTTTTATCACAAAATTCCACTAAAATACAGAATTTTCATTTCGTTCTTTTTTGTCACAAAATTCCAATAAAATACTGAATTAAAATCATCATCACACCATTTTAAAAAGATTTCTAATAATAACATTATCACCATTCCAAAAAGATTTTCTAATAATAACTTGTACCATTTTACAGTCATGGCACTATTTCCTACTTATTTTAAGTGTTTTTGGTACTTATATGCAATCACATGTTTTCTAACACGATATTGGTTTCAACATGATAAGTCATTGGAATAATATGATTGGAATAACATGATTTTATTATGATAAGCCTTATTTTTATTCATTTTTTATGGAAGTCTTCTAAATGTCTCTCTATATAATTTCAAATAAACAATAAATTTATGATACTAAATTCAAAATCTATAGGGTAAGAGTTAAAAAATGAGAAGAAATTTGATTAGTAAAGTAGAAGGTTTGGTATTTGCATATAAAATTTTGAGGTATTAGAGGAGAGTATATATGTTATTTCAATTGAGATTTTAGTAATCTCTTATGAGGATTATGTTGTGTGAAATTTTTTATTATGATTGTGTTGTGTAATTTATCATTGATTACTGATTATTATTTTAATTATTTTTGTTTTTATATGACACTGATGCCTATAAATGAGGACGAGCTTAAAAAAAGAGGGATCACATTATGTTGTATGAAATTTTTTATTATGATTGGCTTGTGTAATTTATCATTGAGTACTAATTTTTATTTTTATTGTTTTTGTTTTTATATGACAGTTGATGCCTTTAGATTAAAGGACAGGTACGGATCAGAAAAAGCTTTGAAAATTTTTTAAATCAGGGATAGGGTAGGCAAAAACCTATGCAAATGATTTCCCAAAATTACCCATCACTCTCGTAGTGCGTCATGGATTTCCTGATTTTTTGAAAAATTTCTCGTAATCCTTACTATATTTCATTGTAATTTATTGACACGTAATAGATTTATTGATTGTGTAATCTTTTCCCATTTCCTTACTATATTTCATTTTAATCTATTGTCATGTAATAGATTTCTAGATACCCAAACGGTCCTAATTGTTTAGAGCTTCAACATTATACAAACCGCACCCTTTGAAAAAATGGTTTAAACAAAGGGTATATTGGAAGTGGAAATATATTTAAGGTTATTACATAATTTATATATGGAATGCGAACAAACGTATATTAAAAGTGGAAATATATTTCAAGTTCATTACATAATTCATATATGGACAAAATTATATATGGTTGACATCTTAAATGGTAGATTTGAGAGGCACCTCAAAAATCTATGGCAAGAAGCTATTTTAACGTTGGAAAATCATCTCATAGATCATCTTGACATTTAGATGGATGGATATGAAAAAAAGAAGATTCTAATTTCTTAAAAAATAGTACATTTTGCAACGTATTATTTGGATTGTTTATTTTTAATATTTTTATGTGTCTATAGATATTCTTGATTTGAACTATTTTTAAAATTATAAAATTTTATAACTATTCAAAACATTTTCGACATCAAGATTGCATCTCATGACAAATTTAAGAGGCATGTCTTTGATTGTTTAAGATTGCAAACTTATGCAAACTTGACCCTTTATATATATAGAGTAATGATCTTATATAGCTCTCCTCCACTCATGTGTGTAGAACTTCTAAGGATCATAATTAAAGTTAGCACGGATCTCTAAAAAAATTATTATATGGATGTGGGATTTGACTTTTTANAGATCTATATCAAATTTAATGATGATCATTTGAGGTTCTAATACACATGAGTGGGGGAGGTTATATATATATATATATATATATATATATATATATA